TATATGCATGTGTGTTTGTGTGTGTCTGTTTCCAGTCCCATTTTCCGCCCTTGTTAAATGTTATTGCCGCACATTCCATACATTTCTCTTCATTCTCACAACAATTCACATGGATTGTCTGTAGCTGTATATAGTGGCTGTATATCTGTGGCTATACACACACGTAGTTGACATACACCTACACACACATATGTATATTATATGTATCTGTAGAAAGTGATAAAGTATCACAAACAAGTGAACGAGCTTTTTGAAAGAATTAAAATTTCTAAAATCCAACCTCCTCATTCGCCCACTTATCCCCCACTTGCAGTCCTCTTTGTTCTGATTCTTTTTTTGTCACACTATTCAATTCCGCCTCTTTCGTTGTTAAAGTGCAATCGAAATGTATGGCATTTAGTGAAGAGTATGTTGAGATGGGTGGAAATTATGAAATGATGAAAATTAGATGGGTGGGTGAATGAATGGGTGGAAGAATGGAATGATTCCAATTAATTTCAAAGGCATATTCCATTTTTAATTTGCTTGATTTTATCAATTCTAAATTGGAATGCTATGCTGATGTTGAAATTAATTTTTCTGCTCAATTCATACTTGTATGATTGAGGTGAGGAAATGAATTTAAACATATAAGTGATAACCCCATAGATCCAATAGTGCTTGAGGTAGGATTTTTAGATCAAATAGGCTATGCCATTTATATTAATGGTGTGCGTATTTACCGTGAAAATCATTCTTTATTTTAATTCAACAATTTTTAACTGCTGAAATTTCTTCAGTTTGACATGAAACATTCATAGTTAATTGACCTAACAACTTCGTCCTAAATTAGGCCATGAATATGGTAAAACCTGTTTTTTTTGAACCCAATTAAGCTTGTTATTTTTCATTGACGAAATTTTTATACATATAAATGTAACAGAATTTTTCGACGTTTCCATACTTTTCTGCTTTAGCTATGGTTATTCAACTAACGTTATCAATAGATTCAACATCTGCAACCTTCAACATTTCCAAACAAAACAAAGTTACCCAACAAGTTGTTCGGAACATTTTAATTAATCTTTTGACTCTTTTCTAATAACATTCTTCATTCTTTGTAGTGAAACTTTTCAGGTGTACCTTTTGAACCGATTATGTCGATCGTTCCCTATCGTACTATTTGTAGAAATTGCTGAATTGTTCAGACCGGAGATTGATAGATATTCTTGTTAACCTTTTTGTTCGATGAAAGAATGAACGAGCGTATAACGTATCACAGCTGAACTGCACTGTGCAGCAATATTTTAAAACGTCGTCATTGAGAAGCTTTTCAATACAACAATCAGAGAAAGAGCCGAAGGACCAACCGGAAGTGCCCTCTGTTCATCAAACATCTGTCCAGAAGTGCCTCTTTCTCCTCTTTCATTTCCTTCCTAACTAATGCTGTGTTCTACCTGCAACAATCAGTCAACTTCTCTTCTTTTTCCTGTTTTGCATGCAATTTGTATTTTTACAGGTTTATGCATATTTAGAGGGACTTCACATAACACCGCCAATTTTTAGCATCGCACTCGACTATTATAAGCCACCTCCGATTCTTTTCCACTCTCAGCAGCGGCAGTAGTAATAAGCGCCAGACGTGTAAGCACTATTAGCATATCCAGAACTATCAGCATTTTTGCTACTGATATAATCCCGATTGTAACATTATGCATTCTGTAACTTTTAAATGTTGGGTATGTAAGATGCTACCGCCATCTCCCCTTTTACCATATTCCTGCCTTTCTCGAGTCTTATCAGATTTATCCATTGCTTTATATATTTGTTCTCCGGTAATTTGTGCTCTCTTCACTGAAACCAACCAAATTCTGAGATGTATTTATTAGTTTAACATTCCGGATATCTACATATCACCATTATATAGATAAGATGTTATCAGATACTAACCGATGAAACAATATTAATTCTAAGATATTTTTTTCCCTTCTAATTTCCATGCCCCGTGATTTGTATATGCATTTAAAGCTTCAAAGGAACTAACTGCATGATTCAACAATATTGTCACATAATCTTAAAGAGTGGCATGCCGATGAAAACACATGCGCTTTAATAACAAAAATCGCACGTCCAGGTAACATAAAGAACATCGGAGGACTATTTATAGATTTAAAATAAATCCTCATAACTCTGCCACAGCTCATTCTTTCCACTATCGATGACTTTTCCAACAAATAATCTTATTCATTCTTAATGACTTGCGATTGATTTACGAATAACGCATGAAGATCGTATCCAAAGTATATCATCATCTTTGAAATGTAGCATTTTGCAAGAACTATTGAAAAATTTTATTTCAGATGATTCAGGAAATCAGTTCATACTTCCCAATCTAAATATTATCTTTCACTGGCACTATCCGGAAAGGAAATAACTAACTAATAAACTGAAAACACCAATAACTACAACTACTCTCACCACCGGTATTTTTCTTTTTTTATCTTACGAAACATTTCTATCAATTTTCTATTTCTTATTCATTTTACTTCCAATGATGCCTAATTCTGGTTTTATTACAAAAAAATCACCATTCGCTTTACCATATTAGTATCATATTTGGAGAGTAAATCAAAGAGGTACATATAGTCGTAATATTAGCATTTCAATGGTAGAAATACAATTTTCATTTTATCACTACTTGAACTTTCGTTATCATTAGTTATCCTGAGGATTGATAGTGGAAAAAAAAGCTTCTACTGAGAGTTAAGTGATTAGAAGTACCTTAGGAGATTATTAATTTTACTTGGAAAAGAAAAGCAATTAAAAATGTACCAGGAAGTGTATGGTACAAAGAAAGCGAAAACGCAGTAATGTGAGTGATAAATTGTTAAATGCTTCAGAAGGTGATACACCCCAGCTGCAACCCGCAACCCGCAACCAACAACCGTCCTTGTTTTAACCCTTTTCCGCCTAGTTCCTATCCCTACAACTCATTCATTTTTCACTATAGTTTTGTATAGTCATCTTAAACAGATCTTCACTTTTGCTATAATAAACATCTTTTACGGAGGTTCCTTATGCAATTGATCATTTGTCAAATGCGCTTCCTAGAAGTTAGATTGATGTGTGATTATTTTAGGACATTTATTCATCTTTCCCTCTCACTCACCTACTTCACCCCCCAATCAATATTAGAAGCAAAAAGAAAGCAGAAAGTCAGATTTGTAAAAAGCGTTGTTTATTATAATATTGGCGATTTCAATTAAGCTTAATATTTGTACTTACTCTCTGTTGCATTATCTATCGTCCGATCTCTAACTCTCAGCGCTTTATTATTATTATTATTATATGATGTTGAAATTTAATTTTTTTTAGCCATAATAGATGATGAAATGTCATCCGAGATTCTGTGATCACGAAGTGTTTGTCGTCCCTTTAGGATTCATTTTCAATTGAGTTGAAATATATTAGTCACTGGTCGATACATAGATATAGCACCACATTTCATGTCATCCACCGAAGGGCCATTATCCTATGTGATTACATCAATATAAAAAAAAAACAATCATCTAGTTGTTCGGGGTAATCTTGGGTGATCATATAACTGTTTCCGGATGATCTCGGTGAATATGCCTATTAGTGGTATATTATTTCAATTGACCATTAATCCGATCTATTTATTCATCCATTTCTGATAATTGAAATACGTCATTTTTTCCTCATCATTAGAAAAATAGTTTTCTGAAATGCATCAATTTCTAATTGGTTATTAAAATTTTTCTCCATCTATACGAGTATTGCCATTATCGTTCACATCAACAATTATCACTTATCACCACTATCAACATCATCATCATAACTTGAATTATCGTTGTTATTATCATGACATATATATTATCATCTCCCAAATGATTAACTATATCTAATGTGATCATTATTATTATTATTATGATTGCCATCAACCATTATCAGCTTCCTTATCTTTGCCGAAAACTTCAATCACTTCTTTATCTTTTCATTCTTTTTCAAAATTTTTGCTGGATAATTATTTTTTTTCCAAATCATATTGATAATACTAATTGAAGGAATTGAAAATATTTAATGTACACGCAAATATTTTAACTTTTCAAACAAATGCACAATTATATTAATGCGAAATGTGTTGAAGGATTCAGAATATACGTCAAATGGTATGTTTAAAGAATAACCGCAAAAATATTCATTAATCAATTTAATGAAATAAACATTCACATATTACAAACGGGTTTTTCTCCACCAAAAAAGAGACATTGTTTTATTTCTATTCCAAATTAAAAATAAAACAATCTTATTGTATTGGAATGTTGTATTTTGTGATTGAACAACCAAAAATCACACCATATTGTTGTATAAATGAAAATTTAGAAAGAAAAAAGAAGTACCACCAGGCCTTTCGACGGTAAATTAAGCGGCGATTTGGAAAATAATGACGAAAGGAAGAAGTAGTGAATAAGACAACCAACGCAAAATGATTGCTAGTAAAACCTTTTTGGAATGGTTAAAATTTTGAAGTTGAATCGATATCTTTTCACAGTCACAACAAACTATGGCTCTATGGTTAACGAATACTGTTGTGAGGGATGCAATCAAACAACCAAAATGAACTATTGAATCAATCATCGCAAACAAACCCTATAAGTTAATGGGAACCCAATCGACCAACTTTAATGACAACAACAACAACAACAACATCATCATCATCACCATCATCATCATCATCATCATCATCAGTAGTAGCAACAGCAGCAGGAGCAGCAGCAAAACCCAATGTCGACCATCGTCATGATAATATCAGCAGCAACTCCCGCGAATTTCCGGTTTCTTCTGACTCTAAAGGAAAATTAAGAAAATATTTTCGATGGAAACACTCCCTTTCTTTATTATTGAACACATCACACTAACTGACTAATTTTCATTCATTAAATTATTGACTGAATATTTGTCTAATTTACCTATTAACGGACTGATTGGTTCACCAAACTATTTGACCAAACGAATCATTTCATTCATTGTTTGACTATATGTTAAGAGTGACCAACTGTTGGATTACTTTCTCTTAGTTTTACTAATGAAATACATCGTCTATTCCTTCATCTCTTTTATCTCACTTTTTCTCAATAATAAATATACATTTACGACAAATTTTGGCTGATAACAATGATAATGATAATGATGATGATGATGATGATGATGATGATGGTGATGATGATAACGATGATGATCTGTGTGATTGTTGCACCTTACACCTAAATGCTCTATATTTAATGCTTCAACATTCTATTCTGCCTTGGATTGAAAATTTAATAGCCCAATTAGAAATGGAAAAATCTTTGGAAAAGCTCTTATCTCCTCTTATCAGTCAAATTTGAAAAGTTCTTATTCATTCAAAAAGTTAGACAAAAAAGTCCTTTTATTTGATAGCCATCCATATATAACCATCCGCAATGAATCAATCTTACTATCGGTGGGAGGAAGAGGAAGCGGCAGTTGTAACTGAATATGTTAAATTAACATTTGTTATTTTGCATAACTAATTTATCTGTTAGACAAAAATCTTTCATAGCATCAAATTGAATCATTCATTGTTAGGCCCTGTCAATCCATAATCAACGAAATAGTACATAAAGTGCCTTTTAGCTCATGCAACTTTTCTTCCGTTAAAAAAAATATAAAATTTCATGCATTTATGAATTTCCCAAATTTTCATATCATAACAATAAAGCTAATTCGATTGCTCCATGTTGTGCTGTTTTTTTCAGTAAATTTGAAATGTTTTATTTCTTTTAATATTTGTATTGTGATCGTTTCCCTTATAGGAAAGAGAGTAAAATTGAATTTATGAAATTGTTTAATTTCATTTTTTTGATTTTCTTATTTTATCAAAAATGGATTTTATTCTGTTAAATTTAGATTTTGAAATTAAAATTGATAATATGATAGGCAAATTTGATATATCTATTAGACTCGATGATCCCATTATATGTATGAGGCGTAGATCAATAAAAATATTTTTATTCTCACATCGTCACAGTGTTCCATTAATGTTCCGAACGAGAAAGTGTAATGAAATCTCCATTTTTTGATCGTAAAGAATTCAAAATCGATTTTTTATATCTTTTTTGTTACCGCCAATCTTTCTTCAATCATTCCATTAAAATTTCTTTATTATCATTTTCAGGTATACATTAATTTTTTGTACTTACAAATTTTATATTGCATAAATTTTTTTTTATTTTAGAGTTTTGAAACTCTAAAATTTTTCTCTAAAAACTCTAAAAGTTTCAAAACTAAGAGATCTTTAAAGTTGAAGTTGTAATTCTTTGAAATACATTGACTTCTCTTCAAAATATTACTGATAACAACGATTTGAAATATTATTGATGTTTCAGGTTAAGTAGTTCAAATGAAAATATTAAATGCACTTACTAATTACATCCATTAATCATTGAAATTATTATTTCTTGGAATACGGTCCACTTCATTTTTTCTATGTTCCTGACGGCCTTACTTTGTGTGTTAAATTTACTTATCTGTTGATTTTTATCTTGCTAGATTATATCAATACTTGTTTACAATACTCACCTGATTGAAACCTATCCACTTTTAATCAGGTTGCTCAGATTACTTAGGTTGCTCAGGTAGTCGAATCGCTTTTGAATCGTCACTACATTTATTTAATTGTATTGTAATTAATCTATTATGTATTTTTATATATTAGAAAAGTATGATATTTTTGTGATTTGCAATGTTTTTCTCATATTAATAATTGATTTTATTTCAACTTTTATTTATCTTTATTATTCTTACCTAATTAATATCTCTAACAATTACAATTTTCAATTTCATTGATGATATTTATAATATAGGAAAAGATTAAGGTGAAGTTTTCCATTTTGCATTTCATTGTATTCTCTTATAGTGAAAAGCTTTCTCTCTCAATAGGGCACTTAAAAGTTATCGATGAATAATTTATTTTGTTATTTTCTTAATTTTAATGAAAGATTTTATAGAATTTAATGAATATGAAATTATTAATCGTTTTTTGCCGATTTTCCTAAGTAATTTATTCATTTAAGCAACAATTCTATTTGTTAAAGTTAATAATATTGCGAAATTTTTGTTTCATAGAAGATTTCAGAATTCGAATTCACGTTTACTGTTGAATTTTCATCATCGTTATCACTATCATTATCATCATTGGTTCCTTATTTACTAATTTACAGGTGGTACTTGTTATGTAATGAGCAAATGTGAATTAAGTGGGCGAGGACATTCCGTGGCCAAAGCGTCAGCATCCGCCCCGTCCTCTACTACTCCCCCAACATTGTTATCTTCATCTTCATCCTCAATACCACCAACCTCATCATCAGTGTTACTTCCATCATCCTCATCAACGTCATCATCAACATCATCATCAGCAGCACCAACGTCAACATCAACATTAGCAATTCCTGGAGCTAATTGCGCGGCGCCATCATCACCAACATTATTGGTTACTGAAAATGATGGTGGCAAAAGCGCTAGTGGTACTTCCACCCACTATCATCAACATTCTGGGCGGATACTTTGTGATGGATATTTAAGGCTTATTGAAATATTACGTGTCAATATCGCTCAACTCCGGAACTTACCCATCCGAAATAATCATAATAGTAATGGCAATAATAGCAATTATATCAATAACAACGATTATACTCGACCAATAACAGTTTTATCACGATTAGATACTGTCAATATTTTTCAATCAACATCAACTGCTAATGGAAATACGTAAGTTTTTGTTAAACATTTTTACAGAATTATTCAAAATTAAATTTATTAACCAGCTGGATACAATTTTAATAAGCCTTCAATAAATTGATCTCAAAGGATTTACGTTATAGTTGAATTTATTCCATTAAGAATATTCCATTTTATTGATGAAGAAACTAATTAACGATCATAGGGTTCGATGATCAATTTATTAGGAATAAAACGCATTTCTGTTTAAGATTAATAAAATCAATGATTAATAGATAAAAGTAGAAATCATCGCAAATCTAAAATATAATCTAATTATGATAAGCAAAGACTTTATTTCTGTGTTTCACTCATACTTCAAATTTGTTTTTATTTTTCGAAATAGTTGTACAATAAAAAAGAGATGTTAAACATCATCTTAAATTCCATTATATTGGAAGTTTAAGAACTAATATTGGCAAGACTATGTCACATTGCTGTGTCATCATTGATTGTATCTTATCATATCGTTAAACATTTCAATAAAATTTCCATTCTTTTATTCTAAGATTTACAAAAAATTCGAATTTAATGTAAACAAACATATGTTCACCTTTTATTAATCTTGCAAAATTTTTGGTTTACTTATCTGATCTTATCTGATTTTTTTGAAAGCATTGTGAAAAAGCCTCCGTTGATATTAGAAATCATACTGGCAAGAAAATTTCTTCCCCAAGAAAATTTGCTTTCATACAAAATTTAATTCAATTTTACCAAAGCATTACAGTTTCCATCCTTTTTATTCTAAGATTTATTTGAAGTTTTATGTCAATCAGCTTCGCACAGCTGTAATTTAAACTTTCTGAAATGTACAAAAAATCATTTATTATTTTCGATAGAATGTGGGAATTAATTATTTATGGTTTGGTAAAGTTTTTTATCTTTTCAAAGTAATATTTCATTTTTTCAATTTCATGTCATTCAGTTGTACACAACTGTAATTCAAACGTTAATGATACCTTCCTCTTAAGACCACAACATCATTCATAACTTCAAATATTGTATCGGTAATGTGGGGACTTATTTGTTAGCTTTTGCTAATCAATACCTCGCAGTTTTTTTTTTTACTTCATAAGTTTGAGTTATAAATTTTAAATTCGACCATTTGGATTATATATTTTTTTGAATCGTTTCATATTGGCAGTAGTATTACCTGTTGAAATGTCATTAATGTTTGTTGCATGGAGAAAACAGAAGCATTTCTTTTGAGCGATTATTTGTTTATATTTTATAATGTTCGTATTTTTACTTTGAAAAAGAAATTTATAGCAAATGAAGATTTCAATATTCAAAAGAAAAATCCTTTTGGTATTTCATTATGTAATATTTAAAAGAATCAGTGATTTATCTGTCCGTTCAATTATTCAGTAATTTGTTAATTATTTCATTCTGTTGCAGATGCTGTTTTGGCGATGATTTTGTTCACGAAATTTCGAGTGCTTTTTCACAGTTGCATTTTTTGATTAGCGAAAATGTGGGTAATCGCTTACCGCGACAAATTGGCTTAGTGAGTATACGAAAACGTGATATTGTTAAACACTCCGGTGAAGATCGCTGGTATCGAATACAAGCTGTCAGTAGACAAAATGATATTTCTGGACAAATTTGCATTGATGTACGTTGCGAACCAACCAGAAAATGTCTCGCTGTAAAGTAATCATTTTCAATCTTAGCAAACAGTTTAGTATTTTGACAGTTTTTTTGATATTAAATGGTTTTCCAATCTTTAATAGCTTTTTGGAAACGTTTTTAGTCATTTCATTATTTGCAATTTATTCAGATAGAATGTTTTTTGCCGTGTATGGAAATATCATTTATAATTTTAAAGTGTGTTCTGGCTGTCAGCAATCAATTAGAATTAAGGACATAGCTCGTTGATAATTGATAATTCAATTTGGTATTTAGTATTTGCTGACATACAAAGACTCATTTGCCTAGAAGTAGTAATCGTTATCAAATATTATCAATAATAATATGACTAGATCATTTATGACTCATTGTCATAATCATTGTTATTTGGGATATGTAAAATATCTTTTCAAAGCTTTCATTGAATTATAACACCTATAATTACTATCTTCATTAGTAGCAATGAGATAATTCATATCATTTGAGCTTAAAATAAAACTTTAGCATTTGCACTTTCGAAATCTCATTGCTTTGATTCTAACGTAGGAGATTAATTCGAGAGAAATCTTACTGCAGGAAATCATACCCAAATAGAATGAGGATTGTTAAAGATATATATGATCAAATGATTTCATTATTTTTATTACATGCTTTCTGCACATGTCCATAGATTTTCTAAGCAAGGTTTCGAAGATCTCTCGAATGGAATTCTGCAAACTGTCATCATCAATATCAACAAAGCATTATCATTATTATCATTTCATTCCTGCATTTATTGTCATGTCTAATTAACAATAATCTCGAAGGATTAAAAAGTTTGATTAAAATTTGACAAAGTCTTAGCTTTTTTCTTATTCTAATTCTTTCTCACTCTCTCTCTCCCTTATCTCTTCCTATATTTTAAAAAGCAGTGGCCAATAAAGAGGACGGAATTGCTAAGTGGATCGTGGAGAATATTGGACTTTTCTCTGTTGTATTCGAATAAGTAATTCGATATTTGATTGCATAAAGGCTAAACGATACCGATTAGTTAGTAACAGCTATAAATAAAGAGGAAGGAGAAGGAATTTCGAAGGAAGCGCTAGTGGGAATCATTTTTCTTCTGTTTGCTTTCGGCGAATTACTAAACTTCCGGTTGCTTTTACAGACCGGACAATATAGCTCACTATTGATGAAAGTGTGGGCGAAGAAATTGCTCATCCAAAGCGCGCATAGATGAAAAAGAAACGATGGGAGTTTTATCATAAAGCAATCATTCAACGAATTCATTTCCATTTAGAATATAATTTTTGCAATAATTATTTTCAGTACGATACACATCTATCGTTTGCATCCTTATGGGACATATAAATTGCTATCATTCAACTTTTAAACTTTTTTTCGGAATAATTTAGAATTCAAACACTATTACACACATTTTTCTATTTCATTAGATATTGAAATTTCGATTCATTTACATTTGAAACGATAAAGATTTCAAATTATAAATGATATGAAGATTTTATATCTTTTCTTCAATCAGTGACTGTCATTTATTTATTTTAGATAAATACATTTAACATTTTGGGAGGAAATCAAATACAAAAATATATTGCTATATCATTTGAGCAAATTAACTTTAATACAGCCATTACTATTACCAGCAATGAAATATGTTTAGCAAAAGAAATATCTAAAATAAATTCATTGACATGTGATCATACCTTCACGTCATCGTACTTCCATTCAGTAAAACATTGTCGGCATAAAAATTAATTCTTGTAAACATTCAAACTTGAATTGAATCAAATTATCAGATAAAGTTGAAATTAAAATAAAGTTGGATTTCAAGCGCTCTCAATTTTATGATGCAAATTTATTTGTGAGTTGTATAAAGGGATGTATGGGAAATAGCGTATATATCTGATGAATTTTAAAGCGATGAAAATTTAAAAAATGTTAGAGCTATCCCTTTAATTAACTTCTTTAATTAAACAATTAGTTGGCCAATTGTTTATTACTACTTCTTAACTCTTACATTGCATACACTTTTATGTGAAACAAAGTATTAATCCTCTTCTCTCTCTCTCTTTTATACATTAAAATCATATGTCGTATGTTCCAGAAACATTTGAAAATGCATAGAAAGAGAAGTCATCTTTTTCGACAAATTTCATTTCAATAACCGATCGTTTCCATCCGTTGCCTTTATAGTTTGACAAGCCTTTGAGATTGGCATGGGTAGGTGATATTCCACTCTGACGCAGCGATTTCCGGTTTATCTTTTTTTTCCTTCTACCTGTCAACTTTTTCGTACTACTCTACAACTATCTGAATCATTCAACTACTGCCGCATTTAATGGCAGGTTCATTCAGTTTGTAACACACATCAATATGGATCATATTTTAATACTTTTATTATTTCCTATTTTTTAAAGATTGATACAATCCGGAATACATATAGTAAGTGATTATTCAATCATTATAATAATTTAATATTCCTTTCTTTGCTTCAGTTCATTTCATAACTTTTGACTTTATAAAGCAGTTTCGTTGTTTCTATTAGAAAGCATTAAGATATTAATTTATTTCCTTATTTTGTTAGGATTTAAAAGTTTTCCTTACCGATTTTTTTCCTTATATTTGAATTTCAATTGTTTGAATTATTTCAAAGCTTCTGTGCAGTATTTTTGTAAACAATTGTACGCTAGCTGTAAACAAATAATGTGAAAATTTATTAAAGTTTATACATGATATATCACAGATAAAATTCGTTAAATTTATTATGCTAGTTATTATATGACTTATATAAGTTATAATATCAAGCTGTCAACAAAAGTTTTATAAGAATATGGATGACAATATGCGGTTTTAACCTTTTCCTTATAATTTTATTACTAATGAGCAGCCTAATAATTCTCGGCAAAATGACTTATTGCATTGGCTATTAAAATTATTTTATTTTATATTATATTATTTATTTATTTAGATTATGAATGGATTGAGTGAGATTGCACAAAGATTTCTTATTTAAATATATTTTTTATTCTCGCCGATCGCTGCCTTTTTCTTTTTCTTTCTTTTTACATTTTTGCCTTTTGCCTTAATTATGCTGGAATACACCATGAAGAAGAAATAATTTCATCAAAAAGAAGCGAAAACATAAATTTTAAACAATTGCTACTCTCATCACTCTCTCTCTCTCTCACATTTTCTCTCTCTCCGGACCTTTTTTCCTTCCTTCCATCTTCCACCCACTCATAAGTTTATGTTTTTATTTTTGATAATTAACTTCTTTTTAATCGGCAAAGTGTGGGTAGAATGTTCTGTTTGAAGTTAAGATTAAAATGCATTTAGTTGCCAGCCAATCTCCTCTGCTACCAACCACCTATCTACCTTAAGTTTAAAATAGACGACACAATGCTAATGCTTTACATTTCACAATGTTGTAATATGATAACTTCCGGAAATTCAAGAAATTATTTTTCTCCCTCTCTCTCTCTCCGTTCGAAGCATTTATCTGAAAATTTATTATTAAAAAATTTAACTGAATCACTTTTTGATTGTCAAATTTTGGCGACAAATTTCATATTTTCATTAACGAAAAATTTGCACTAATTAATATTAATTAATTTATGCTTTCAAGGCAGATAGTCTCTTTCCATGCTATTTTGTGGTATGCCTGAAACATTTCTGCAAATCACCGTTCCTTTTTCTGCAGGGTAGTAGACTACACGGGATTAAATATATGCGAACCAGCAGATCTATATTTACTGGTAACACTACAGGTGGCAACACGAATTGTGCAGTCCAAAAAGTTAAACATTGGCATTAACAGAGTAAGTTAATAAATTTATTGTTTGTTAAAATATTTTGAATGATCAGCGAAAAAATTCATAAATTGGAAATGTATAGTTTGAATTGACTTGAAACATTAATTTCATTAATTTTTACATGAAGTTTTCTCATTCATTAAGCGCTTTTTTCAATTAAAATTAATTAGGCATACATTTTATTTAGCTTTTAAATTGATGCGCGGAATACATTTTATGGCTTACTAATAATTTCTCATTCATCCTAACTATTTTTATAATTATTAATTTAAATGAAATTTGATTAAAATCATCTTTTTAAATTCAAATTATACTCATTGATGACGGAGGAAACGAACATTTAACGCTTTTTGAATTTTTTTCTGTCTTAGGAAAGCGCAGAAACATTGTTTATGGAATGTGATAGAACGATCCTCGACGATAATCAGAGGACACAACGAGTACAGTTGCGAATGTCACTTTGGCATGATATTTTACCAGGTTTTAATAGTTATTTTCAAGGACAAATACGCATCACTCTCGATGACGATATCGTTGAAAAGGGATCTGTTGGCCCTCAATGGTTCGTTTCATTCTTTTACCATTCAATTAAGGTATCCTTTTTTTTATTAAAGCACATTCTTTAACATATCTCTTATGATATTACCGACTGAATGGTTAATTATTAATTTAAAATATCGATAGCTTATTATTTTTTCCTAAAAATTTTCTTGATTAGAAAGATACCTGTGTACCTATTTTTATTTAACTCAATTAATGCTATCAAATGGATCAAAATAGTTTAATCACTTAGGTAATATAGCTGTTGCAGAAAATTTTTATAAAGAGATTTTTTGTAAGTTTTATTTCATATAATAGGGTTTCTCTTCTTTGCAAATTGCAGACGATATGGTTAACTTTCGAAAAATCATATAATAAAGTTAACTTTTACAAGTGCAAATACAACTGAACTTAACGGTTACAGTTTTTAAATCTTTTTCATAAAAAAAAAAAGAAATTTTAGGCAAATTTATATTTTGCCTGTCAGCTTCCATAAGAAATAACTGAAATAGATTGAAGACAGAGGACGGAGGAAGTAAAGTAAATTGAGGGCAGAGGACAGGTGAAGTAAAGTAGATTGGGGACAGAGGACAGATGAAGTAAATGTGGAGAGAGGATAGGTAAAATAAAGTAGCTTGGGGACAGAGGATAGGTGAAGTAAAGTAGATTGGGGACAGACGGCAGATGAAGTGAAGTAGATTGGGGACAAAGGACAGGTGGAGTGAAGTAGATTGGGGACAGAGGACAGATGAAGTAAAGTAGATTGAAGACAGAGGACAGATGAAGTGAAGTAGATTGGGGACAGAGGACAAATGAAGTAAATGTGGAGAGAGGACAGGTAAAGTAGCTTGGGGACAGAGGGCAGGTGAAGTAAAGTAGATTGAGGGCAGACGACAGATGAAGTGAAGTAGATTGGGGAGGGAGGGCAGGTGAAGTGAAGTAGGTTGGGGACAGAGGACAAATGAAGTGAAGTAGATTGGGGACAGAGGGCAGATGAAGTGAAGTAGATTGGGGACAAAGGACAGGTGAAGTGAAGTAGATTGGGGACGAGGACAGGTGAAGTGAAATAGATTGGGGACAGAGGACAAATGAAGTAAATGCGGAGAGAGGACAGGTAAAGTAAAGTAGCTTGGGGACAGAGGACAGGTGAAGTGAAGTAGATTGGGGACAAAGGACAGGTGAAGTGAAGTAGATTGGGGACAGAGGACAGATGAAGTAAAGTAGATTGAAGACAAAGGAATTTGTAGAACTTATCTCTGTTCTCTGATCTTATAATTTATTTTTTATTACATTTTAATCTAACTTGGTGAAGAAATTTGCAATCCTTCATATTTACGCATGTTGGAAAATTTCTTTATAAAATTTTAATCTTTTATGTAAAATATTTCAAATGATAATCTATTTATTTATTGCACATAATTTTGATCTTTTTCAAATTAGAGTTCACAATTTTAAGAAACTAATTTGTCTTTCTTTCCTTTACATAATATTTCGTTATCTGGCAATAAACTATCGCTTATATGTAAATTTTCACTAAGGAGTGAAGAAAATTTATAGTTTATAGTTTTTTGCATTTTTAGTTTTATATTGCAATAATTTATAGTTTATATTTCTTAGTTTGAGTTTTAAAACATCATCGTTCAAAATTTAGAGAAAAATGAGTAGTAATTAATCAGCCGCTTTATATGTTACACATTTTTAGCAACTGCCCACCATTTTCTCATTATTTGATGTGCTTGCGAAACTTTGCAGCAATCTATGTATCGGTTTTCTATCTTGTTTGCTGCAATTACCTGCAATTGCTGCAATAATTACTACTGGTAATTGCAGCATTCTTGCATATCCTGTAATAATTTCAAGATTTTTGTTGTAAGAAGTTTTGATAGAGTTAGTTAGGAAGAAAGAAAGAGGAAACAGATGCAAAAGAAAGAAAGAACTTATAGAATTTCACAATATATCATTGATAAGAGTTTGAAATATCATCATCATTTATTATGTTCTTTTACAATCCAAATTTTATGCGAAAGTTCTTTGTTGATAATAATAATAGTGACAGTGTGGAAATCATTTATTTTTAAATTATTGAGTCTGTTCTTTGATAACAAAATAATAGTAATAAACTAAACAAACGAGCAACTTATGTAGATACATAAACATACACATATACATGTATGTATGTGTGTGTGTGTTTGTCTGTCAACTTATATGCTTCAATTTTACAACAAACTTCCGCTTTTCGATAACATTGCCATAAAACACGATTGAGTGGTGTTGACTTTCTAGAATATCTGAAATCAACCCCTCTTGAAAATTTCGTTGAGTTTTACAGTAATATCTCATCTTTGATCTATTGTCTTTATTTTATGCTTACTTCACTCTGCAAGCTCATTCTTAAAATATTACTGTGATAGTGGTTGTATTCAGTTATTGAAGTAATTACTAAATGTTACATTACATACTGTAACTTTTAATTAAGCAAAAATGGTATAAACAAACAAAGCTATTACATTTTTTTTTCTCTAAATTTTAAATGTTATAATTTAGAATTACTTCAAAAAACTGATATTCGTGTAAGGTACTATGTTTAATTTCATATATTTCATTCAATTACTGCCTTTAATATTCATTCTGATAGTTTCTCTAAAGAATTCCATTTGAGAAATGAATTAATTAAATTTAAAGATTTTGACTTCAACTTTTTGTTTAACTCTTTCATTTTAATGCTTCAACAAAAATTACTTTTATCCTTATTGGAAGAATTTTTATAGAAAAACAAACGCCAATTTCTAAATCCATCCATTTCCAATTTTTTTTCTCTTTTCTCTCTCTCTCTCTCTCTTTCTTCACCAGAATTTAAATTCTCATACCCTATTCCAATCACATATATCTTTCTCTTTTGCTTTATAGTTTTCGAAGAAAATTATATCATACAATGATATAGGCTCAAAAAAAATAGGCCTCGAAAAAGGCATTACATTCTTCATTTACCTTCAGATACAATCTTATCTAAAAGATTCGCTCTCCGAGAAATTTCTCATTAATATATTATCACATACATATATATATACTTCTTTAGTTCTATCATTTGATATACATAAATAAATAATTCGAATCAATGAGTTGCTGTTTTCTCTCATCGAAAAGCGTAATTGATATTTGTTCAATTCGATCGGTGTCTGTTTGATTAAACATTACAGTGTAATAACATTTTTTCCGATCATTGCAATCATTTAAATGTTCGTAATATTTCATCGTTTTATTTAATTATTTTATTTTCACTTTTATATAATTTTTTTTAATTAAATTGAATTTATTACTTTTTTGAAATTCATAAAAATATATTTCAAATTTCAATTTATATTAAAATTCACTTATGATTCTAAGAAAAATTTCTCTTTTTTTATCAAATTTGCATGCAATAAATGCTTTCATATTTCATATTCCACAAAAAAAAGGCAAATAATTATGAAATTGTAATATATTTCTACGATTTTAATTTCCCTTTAATAATTTCACTATCGATATTAAACAATTGCTTAACAAAATTGCTTCTATTCTGCATTTCAAGTGATTTTGTCATTGGAATTTTATTTATACATTTCCGATAAAAGGAGCTTCGGATATGTTCCGTTTGCTATTAGTATTGCATGTGTCGTAATTAATTTAAACATAATTGAATTTTCACTAAATGAAATAGCAGCAATATACAGGAATAATTGATGTTAAATTAAAAAAAAAGAACATGAAAACACGGATCGTAGGCATCAGGAAAAAAATTAGATTGATGAACTTTCGATGACATACAAAGCAAATGATATCATTTTGATGTTTAAGTTTAAATCTTTGGTGCCATTTTGATTAAAGATGTGAAACTTTCGGATATATATATATATATATATATATGAGAATAGGAAATGGATTATAATCAATTTTCTGAAATGAAATACTATCGGAAAGGAATTCTCTTCAAATATTATAAAATTTGAAAAGCGCACAAAGCAGCCAAGTAATTATACAGTTTAAATAGTTACATAGCTTTTACGATTTTTTGAATTTATTGATAAAATAATAGTGATAATTTTGGGAGAAAAATTTTCCTACCATTTCAGCCTTTCATCATTAGAGATATGAATTTTCCGCCTTTCATCATTAGAGTTATATGAATATGGTAGGGATTGAAATAGATTGAGGAAAGGTGTTGAAAAAGCATATTACTTATATTATAACATTTTAAACTTTTATGAAATATTTATAAGCTAAAGATTATTTTTTAGGTAGCTTTCAGGAATAAAAACAAAAAATAATTATTCCGTATTTTATACTGAAAAAGTTTTTCATTCCTTATTTCCGATTTGTGTGATATTTCAAAGTATTGATTATATTTTAGAAGGAATTATACGATTTCCTATTTTTTGTTTACAAAATGACTTTTCAGTTACTTTATTCTTTCTATCTCTGAAATAGCACAAATAATCATCTCATCACTGACGCATTCTTGAATGAAATGGATGAATGAATGAATGAATGGAATGGATGAATGAATGAATGGAATGGATGAATGAATGAATGGAATGGATGAATGAATGGAATGGACGGATGAATGAATGGAATGGACGGATGAATGAATGGAATGGATGAATGAAGGAATGGAATGGATGAATGAATGGATGGAATGGATGAATGAATGGATGGAATGGATGAATGAATGGATGGAATGGATGAATGAATGGATGGAATGGATGAATGAATGGATGGAATGGATGAATGAATGGAATGGACGGATGAATGAATGGAATGGATAAATGAATGGAATGGATGAATGAATGAATGGAATGGACGGATGAATGAATGGAATGGACGGATGAATGAATGGAATGGATAAATGAATGGAATGGATGAATGAATGGAATGGATGAATGAATGGATGTGGATGAGAGAATGAGAAGAACAGAACGCCCCCGTCATTTAATTTTCTTCTTCGAGCACTCTTTTTCAAATTCCGCCTCTATAAATCTCCTAAGTATCGATAAACAGTAACTTTGTTTTCTTTTTATTATTTCATATATTTTCTTGCTGTTAATAGTAATATTAACTTATACTGTCAATATAAATGATATTTTAAGCAAATATTAATTTCACTGAGAAGCGTATTTGTCGTAAAAATGATATCAGAAAATTTGTTTCTTTTACATTAGCATTATTAACATTAACGCATCGATGATTGTTATGCATTAAACTTAGAAAATCTTTTTAAAGTAAATTTATTTTTCATTTGAAATTTTCTACGTTTCTCCGTTTCAACTGGATATTATTTCATTTAATTTGATTTTTGTTGATGAGATTGAGATGAAGAGAT